CCGGCGCTGTGCCCAGCATGGCCGCTGCGCCGGCTGCCGTGGCGATCGGCACATGTCGGCCGGCAGCGGGTGGCACGAACGCGCCCTGCCAGCCGCAGTAGGCCGCCACACCCGCCACGACTGCGAGCATCTTGCTTGCCTTTGCCATTGCAGACACGATGAGTCTCTCGGCTCTTGCTCACGCGACTAGCCTGCTCAAATGCTGACATCCATACAGGTCCATACAACACCGGCGCAGAAAGACATCACCGGCCAGGCACATCAATCAATGCCAAGCGACTGCTCACGTTGCAAATAACTGCACCCTGAATAGCTTTTGCCCTCAAGAATCTCAAGACAAAGACAAGGATTGCTTGTGTTTGTGTTCCCTCCTTCTATGCACAATCAAACACGAGTCTTATACGGTTGGGATCAGTGCGGTTTCAGCCCCGGATCCTAGTGTCTGTGCGTGGCACAACTGTTACTCAAATACACAATACTCAAGCTGTCAGGAAAGGCGCCGCTTTTACACAAGAGGACACGTCAAAGGGGCCTCCTCAATACCCTGCATATACAATTGGCAGAGTGTCTTGATAAAATGATGGAAGCTGTCTGAGTCAAGCGCATGCCTGAGAACAGGGTCTCAAGCCAGCCGGGCTCAGATTACAAAGAGTTGCCAAGAAGCTATACAACCTGCAGGGCGCACACACGACGCCACCGCCAAAGATGCCAAGAGCAAGGCCGAGCTCAGCGCTGAGAAGCCTTCACCACATCCTTGAACTCGAGGAATGCCTTGTAGGCCGCCTTGGCGTCCTCAGCGTTCACCTTGGACATCATATAAGGGCCCACATCCTTGCCCAGGTTGAACTCGTTGAAGGCATTGTACACATCCATGGTCTTGGAGGCCGGCACGGACGCAACCATGTGGCCAATGGCGGCGTTGGTGGCTGTGTAGTCGGCCAGAGTTGTAACTCCCTTGGAGTCCACAGAGTTGATGGCCTTGCTGTGGGCCAACACTCCGGCCTTCAGAGCTTCTGGGTCCATCGCGGCGCCCATGACCAACATCGAATCGATCGCCTTCAGCACCTCCAAGGGCTTGGCAGTTGGCAGAACGCCATAGACACCATCAGTCCAGTCGATCTCCTGGACTTGCTGGAACACGTTTGCTGGCCAAAGGAGTCAGCACCAAGTCCCTCAACAACGGAACGATCAGCAAATATGAATGAACAAAAGGAGACAGCAAATGCTGCAAGTGGCGTTCCTCATTCTGTGGTCACAATGGTTGGATAGCAGCTAGCAAACTTTACAAAGCAGGGCAGATCAAATTGACACTTTGAAACATGGATTAATCTCTTACAAGCAACAACGAGTTGGGCTACCACACACTTGCAAACTCTTCTGTCAAAACATTTCCTGCATCCCAAGCACAACAAGAAGCCTCTTGTCAGCCATGATCGTGCCCGTCATGCCACGTGATCATGCCCAGCAGTCCTTCAAGAATGGGTAAGACTTCTCTGAGAGAACTTTGGCCGCATCATCGATCTTGTCTGCGTAAGCCGGCGCTGTGCCCAGCATGGCCGCTGCGCCGGCTGCCGTGGCGATCGGCACATGTCGGCCAGCAGCGGGTGGCACGAACGCGCCCTGCCAGCCGCAGTAGGCCGCCACACCCGCCACGACTGCGAGCATCTTGCTTGCCTTTGCCATTGCAGACACGATGAGTTTATTGGCTCTTGCTCACGCGGCTACCCTGCTCAAAAGCTGACATCCAGACACACAGCGCGGCTCGTATCGGCCAGGCAGCCAAACATTGCTTATATGCGCACAAGCACGCACACACACAGACACATTCAATCACCATCAACTGCAGCCTGATTACAGTTCCCCTCAAGGAATCATATACGCCTCTATGCTGGTTTATGTTTCCCTCATCCCTGGCAGGTCCATCGTAAGCGTTGCACTCCAAAGTGGAAATCCTTTGAACCGTCGAGCGTAAGCTCAAATCTTTGGCGGTGGACCCTTCCGCGTGTACAAAGTTCGTTGATTGGTTCCCTAGAACTCCTACCTAGATAGCCAGTTGCAGCTTTTGTCAGTCACTGTTGCTGGTTTTTGGGGTAAAGTGCATGGAAAAAAAACAGCAACTGGCGATCCAGGTAGCCATTTGGCAATCGGTCAAAAACCCAAATCGTACCCCCAGTGAACATCCGATTCAATCCAACCACTAAAATAGGTTAACTAAAATGGGCGGTGAATTCACCTAGCCCAAAATGGGATGCCATTGGTTTTGACCCACAACCATTGGTCTTCGTTTCAATCCGCCTTCATGGCGGTTTTGCCGAGGACCCCTTCCTTTCAAGCAGGGTGGCTACAAGACTTGTGTTGCGTCTGCGCATCAGATGGGCTTTGGGCCCAGACTTGCCAGCTTGCGAGGGAAGGTGGTTTAAACCCCGGTTCGAGCCTAAGGGTCTTGCAAGAAACATGGTTTAAACAACCGTTCCCTTCATTCCCTTGGAAGGGAAGCACACAAAGATGGCTGTTTTAAGAGTGGCGCGACTCAGGCCAACAAGAATTCGCGCACGGACTTGAGATCGGTTGCACCTCCATAAGGTCCAACTTTCGCTTGAGGTCCTGCAACTTGGTCTTCGCCTTGCCCCTCAGCCGGGAAGACGAGACTTGGGACTCGCAGTTGGTTTAAACTAAGTGACCCGAACTGCGGAAAAGTACCGGCGCAACTTTGAAAGTCCCAGATCCAAAATCCCAACTGTCCAAAAAGCAGTGGGGGGTGCTGCCCTTTGGCAATTGAAACCATATCTCTTTTGGAGTTGACCTTGTGTATTTTGGTGGGGACACCAAACCAAATGGGATTCAGAGGCCAGTCAGAAGATTGTTCTCCTCGCGAAAGAGAGTCCGGTCAGGTTCCATGTTGGAGGTGAATATGCCCCTCCATGAGTCAACCCCACCGACATAGAAACCCCTCACAGTCCTTCAGATTGACCGGACGATGATAAGATTCCCAGACTGGGCCGGAAGAACCTCCTTGTTGAGAAACGGAGGTTCTGGCCAGATTGTTAGTTTTTATTTGCACTCGGGTCCAAGCAACCCCCTGTTCATCCAGCTAGTACAGGGAAACCATCCTTTTGGGCTCGCAAGGACGCCCTTAGGCTCCTCCAAAAGGATGCCTTCACGCGTACATACCCTTGGAAGATCCCGGGTTATTTTTGCGGGGTTGTTTGCATCCAACACGCGCAATCTTGGAGAATTTGTGCGTAGTCGAAGCCAACAAACAAGACGTTCTGTGGAAATACCCAGAAAGGCCGGTCGGTAAGGAGAACACACAGGCCAGTTGCCACAAAGCGAAGGGCAAAAGAAGGACACCACGTCTTCAGCGTCCCGCTTGGTGTGACAAACGCGTCAGCGTGAGGAACCCGTGTGGGTGCATGTTCTTTTTCTCGGTTGCTTTCTGCTCCCCTGCTAAAAGTTTAACTTTTAGTGGTTTAATGGAAAACCCATTAGTTGAACAAGTCAAAGTCCTAACATCCAAGCCAAATTCGCCAAAGTTTTGGGGTAGTCGTTCAAAGGTACACCAAAGTCGGGCCACAAATCTCTGCCAGGCCGCTGGTCGTCGATCAGCTCGCGCTCCTGACGAAAGTTCGGTGGACAAACATGGGTGGTTCCTTTTCCTGGCACTCAGACGGCCAAATAGTCCAACCCAAAAACAAAACTGAGTTTTTTGTTAACCACTAAAATGGTCCAAAAAGCAGAAAGTCCATGAACTCAGGAAGTGAGAGAGTCAAGGGGAACAGCCCACTCTGAAAAATCATGTACCTGGTGGCTCTTGATGGGAACATGGCGGAAAAGGGTGCGAAAACACACCCACGACTTGACGGGCGGGCCCAAACGACGAAATGGCTGAGACCCCAGAGCTGTCGGGGATGCCAGCATGGGGGATGGAACCACACGTGTGCGCTGACTCTGCTGTTTAGTTGGACACTGAGGGCAGTGGACCCTGGGGCAATGCCTATCTGCCAAGTTGATGATCCCAAAAGCGGAATTAAAACCCTTTACACTTCAAGAGGAAGTAGGTCTTTGCCCGTGAACCTTGGAACAGCGGCACCAACTACGAATCAGCTGCGGCGACTAGCAGGTGCGGGAGTTCGTGCCACGTGCCCAGCTCTGCCGATGCGGCATGTCGTGCCTAACTGCAGGAAGAAAGTGTTTCCCCGCGGGCCCGTTTGCAAATTCCATGCTTGGCATCGAATTTCCAGTTGTTCTGAATTGAACTAATGTGAAAGCACATGAATGTGATCGTACGGAGAAGGTCCAGAGGGACATGTACCACAACCATGGGACTGGTGGAACCATAACCTGAGCCAAGAAGACAGTACCCGAAACCAAGAGATTTACTTCGAGCGGTTCATGATTGGGAACGGCTCCAATTCTAAGCTCCATGAGCCCGAAATAGTTTCCAGCTTCCCCTATGAACGCCACTATGGCCAACCCAGCATCGGCTGAACTGGGAACCCTTCAAAGAAAAAGAGCGCACGTGCACTTTCCTTGCGTCCAATTCAGATGTCCCCTCGGGTCCATTGTCTCAAACTTAGGAGACCCCCAACATGGTGGGTCGCATTAAAACCACCCCAAAAGGGGTATGATCGAAAAAGCACACAAACATGTGTATGTATATATATATATATATATACGCATGTGTGTGTGTGTGTGTGTGTCTGTGTGTGTGTGTCTGTGTGTGTGTGTCTGTGTGTGTGTGTGTCTGTGTGTGTGTGTCTGTGTGTGTGTGTCTGTGTGTCTGTGTGTCTGTGTGTCTGTGTGTCTGTGTGTCTGTGTGTGTGTGTCTGTGTGTCTGTGTGTGTGTGTCTGTGTGTCTGTGTGTGTGTGTGTCTGTGTGTCTGTGTGTCTGTGTGTCTGTGTGTCTGTGTGTCTGTGTGTGTCTCTGTGTCTCTGTGTCTCTGTGTGTCTCTGTGTCTCTGTGTCTCTGTGTCTCTGTGTCTCTGTGTCTCTGTGTCTCTGTGTCTCTGTGTCTCTGTGTCTCTGTGTCTCTGTGTCTCTGTGTCTCTGTGTCTCTGTGTCTCTGTCTCTGTGTCTCTGTGTCTCTGTGTCTCTGTGTCTCTGTGTCTCTGTGTCTCTGTGTCTCTGTGTCTCTGTGTCTCTGTGTCTCTGTGTCTCTGTGTCTCTGTGTCTCTGTGTCTCTGTGTCTCTGTGTCTCTGTGTCTCTGTGTCTCTGTGTCTCTGTGTCTCTGTGTCTCTGTGTCTCTGTGTCTCTGTGTCTCTGTGTCTCTGTGTCTCTGTGTCTCTGTGTCTCTGTGTCTCTGTGTCTCTGTGTCTCTGTGTGTCTGTGTGTCTGTGTGTCTGTGTGTCTGTGTGTCTGTGTGTCTGTGTCTCTGTGTGTCTGTGTCTCTGTGTCTCTGTGTCTCTGTGTCTGTGCGTGTGCGTGTGCGTGTGCGTGGCTGTTTTTGAAAACCCCCTTTTAACTGGGATTTAACGGGCAATTCGCCTAGAAAACCTTTCCTAACTCTGGGGTGTGTTCTTTTTGAGTGGTACCCCTATTTTGCGGTTTCAAAAAGAGACCAAAGGGCCGCAATTTTGGTGGGACCCCCGCCGCACCTTCAAACAAAACAAAACAAGCCGCCCATATGGCTGTGGGTCAAATAGGTACCCAAATGGGAACCCTGGTGAATGAAACCAAAACTTGTGGTCCCAAACCAAACCTGGTATTTTTGTTTGACCCATAAATGAGTGACCCGGTCCACTGGTCCACTGGTCCACTAAATGAGTGACCTGGTTGACCCGTTTTCTTTGGCTCAGGTTCCTAGTGGCTTGGTTATCTCTCCTGCTGATACCTCGCCCGCAGCGGGGCGAGCTCCTCCGACACCTGGGCCAGCTCCTTCTGGGCCTCGGCAAGCGGCAAGCGCCCCGCGACTCGCCCGTGTCACGCGCGGCTCGGCGCGTGATGAGCCCTGTCTTGAGCTCACTTGCTGAGTGGATGGTCCAAAAAACGTCCAAACTATATATCCCATTCTCTTCCATCCCCCTCGCTCACTTCCTGAGTTCATGAACTTTAAACTTTTCGGGAAGACCATCTTAGTTGTGTATATATATATATATATTATATATATATACACAACTAAGATGGTCTTCCCGAAAAGTTTAAAGTTCATGAACTCAGGAAGTGAGCGAGGGGGATGGAAGAGAATGGGATAGCTCAAGAAAAGCCAAAGGCCGGCCGACAGAAGAAAATACCGAGGCCGTGAGAAACTAAAGCAAGGCCCCCGGGCCACTGCAAGCTGTGGCCAAACCTCAAACCGTTCTCCAAAATCCCAATACTCCAACAACAGCCGCGATGCCACGATGCACCGGTCGTACCTCTCTCTTCGCCTGGGGTTTCCTTTGAAATAATGTCTTTCTGTCTCATATTCAAGCTACCAAACATAAACAACACATGGGCGTGTCTTGTTTCGAGGCTCGGTGCCCCCTTTTATGGGAAGGCTTTGAAGAAAAGACAAGTGGAAGCCACCATTTTGCTGGGTCCCTCGAAAAAGACGAGCCAGGTGACACTGTAAACGGGGGCTTTGCCTTAAGAGGCTGAACACACAATATATATTCAAAAGGACACGGGTCAGAATTAAACCACCACGGGACCGCAGGTTTTAGTCTACTTCTCCATTTACCAGGGTTCCATGCTGGATACCTCTTCTTGACCCACAGCCACATATGAGATTTTTTTTGGGGGGGCTCCCTGAAAAAAAAAACTGGAGGCCTCAGTGCGCTCAGCAAAACCAGACGGCGAGCCAAAAGGGCCTCATGGAGCCGCGTCTTGGAGCCATGGTCCTTCTCCTTGCTCAGGGCCTTCACCTGCACGCAGATCATAATAATAGGTATTATTAGTATCATTAATTATTCTAATTGTTGATTGTCATTAATCATGATTATTATAAATATTATTGTCACTATATAATATAAACAAAGTGAAGGCTGGTGGTTGATTGGTGGCTGGAGTGGGTTGGAGACCTCTGCTGGGGTTAGGTTGGGGTTGGGTGAGACAGGGCATATCGTGATCCTGCTTGATCTCAGCGCATTTGTCAAGCCCTTGTCATAGCCATCCCAGCGTATGCCAAATGCGCTATCATCCCATGCTCCAACATGCAACCATGATCTGTGGATCCTCAACTGAACGCAACAGGGCCAGCTATATGCGCTCGGATGCCCACGGACATACTCCCCTTCCCCAAAACAGAGCGCACACCACTCACAGCCCATGCTTTCACGAGGCTTAGAACTTCCAGCAAACAACTGATCGATGAGAAATCAATGCATTCCCGCAAAGGCAAGGGCAAAGGAAGTTGGTTGAGGCAGACGTTGAATACGCTGCTCCGGCTCCATCCCAATTCGGCAACATACCCCTGGACCCCATTCGCTCTTTTTACCGATTTGGAGGAAGAGTACATGGCCGCCTGTCCGAGTGTCCACTGTCATCCAAGCGGACATGTGTCAAAACTGTCTGCAAGAAACCACAATCCCAATTTTGGTGGTATCTTTCTTAGCTGCAAACTAGTAGTGTTGACCCCTCATTACAGGGACTAATCAGGTGGGGCCCCCTGGAAGCCATGATTCCCCACTAGAAAGGGCTCCCTTTCTAATAAGTGGGGGAGCTAACATGGAAGTGCACAGACTCCTGTAGAAAGACTGCTTTCCTCTTTGAAAGGGTCTTGTTTTTTTTTACTTCCATGTTAGTTGGTGGGAGAGTATCAATCAGGGATCAGCAGTATGTCCAAAATGGGAATCCCCCGATCCTCCGTGGGACAAAGGGGCAGGCGCCACTCCACCTCGATCGGCAGGATCAGCTCAACCCCTAGTTGGTGGTTGTTTGGTGGTTAGGAGTGGTTCCCATTTCCCTCTGGAAGAACCAGGGGTTGATTTCCACAAACCATCAACCCAAACCACCAATTAAGGGCACTTGAAGTAATACAAGTTCCTAAATAACTAGAACATGCCTTGGGGGTACTTTGAAACCACATCGTGTCATGGTAGGAGTAACCCCACAGGCCTCAACCTCCAAGTACTGCCTTCGCCGCTCCAAGCTGTCAACGGCCTATCGAGCGTGCGCGTTCGCGACTGAATGCCAGGGAGCCCGAAGAGAAAACAGCTTTCCGTTCTTGGGACACCACTGACCCCAGTCCCAATTGTTTACCTTTCCTAGGTCCTCCAGCAAAGAGGTTAGAATAAGGGTACCCCTTTTTTTCCGTAGTCCATTTTGAGTAGGGGAACCCTTCCCCAAAAAAGAGTAAAAGGGAACTACTGGGTGAGCTAGTTTTCTCAGAGTGGTTTAAACCCCAGTGTCTGACTTTGACAACCCCCACAAACAGTCAAAATTCATGACCCCAAACGAACCATGCAAGTTTGAACGCGGGACATTGACCCCGGTTCCTTCCGGGCAAAATTGCAGAAGTTGGTAGGAAACCCAAAAAAGCATCCGTCAAGCTCATGCCTTGCACATACGAGCGAATTTTTAGGGTGGTTTCCCTTTAGTTTCCTGCCCACTGGATTCCACCGTTTTTGCCTTTTCTTGGGAGAGGGTTTGCCGTGAACATCAACCCACAACAGGGTGCCCTATTTTCCAGGCCTCTGAGCTGGGTGCGGGGAATCGCACCATCTGTCACGCAACTGTCGGTAGGAACATGCGACATGTTGACTACCCTGGGCCAAGAGTTTGCGGTTCACGGGGACAAACGGCGCAAGCGACATATGACTCGCTAAGTCAGGTGGTCCCGTCCTGCCCAAATGGAAGCACTGACAGACTACCAGTGTCTTTCTCATTTGCTCATATCAGTTGCGGGCACTCCTCGGAACCGGCCCCCCGCGTCTCCAAAAGTCGGAAACACCCCAGGCAACCAGGGGAAACCTTCACCTTGTTGGAACATCGGGTTCCAACACAACACACTCCCCAAAACATCGGCTTTACCTTTTCGCCGGGTAGCCCCATTCATCTCTTCCAAGACGTTGGAAGTGTCCCCGAGAAACAAAAAAGAAAGAACGTCTGAAAACCCCAAATCGCCCCTTCCGCAAAGGTTGGGAGGCCAATACCTCCATAACTGGGCTGTCCGTTTTCAGATCCCCGATGAAAGTGACTAACTGGTGGGTGAACTGGCAACCCAACCACTAAACCCACTGGAAACAAGGCAAAACCAAAATTAAAACCAGATGGCCAGGACCCACCAAGCAACGAATTTCTCCTGGGGTCGCATCCCCGACGCCTCCCGAAGCGTCGGCATCGAAGAAAAAAGCAAAGCCGCGCCTCGGGCTGCGAGGAGAGCTGCACCCGGATCTTGCTGCAGGCCTCGTCCAGCAGGTCCACCGCCTTCGCGCCGCTTCCGCGCGATATCTCCGCGCGCCTTCTCTCGCGATGCATTTATCGCGTCCCTTTGGCGGGTGTTGTTTTTCCCCCGGCAAATGGGAAAAGTGTCCGCAAATGGGGGGGCTAAGGTAATTACATTTGTTAAGGGAGTTTGGTTGAACGATGGATTAAACCCTAAAGCTTGGTGGGAAGCCAATACTTGACAGTGCCAAAATTGGCCAGGCCAAATTCTGACCCCATTGGTTTTGTCGATTTGAAGAGGCGACTTTCATCAGTCACCATTAGCTCACCATGACCCTGAGAGCCAACAATCCCTTCTTTTTGGCTTCCCAACAAATCCGCGTCTACCCCAGAGTTTCATTCCAAACTTCCCAGTCTGTACCCCCCCATTAGCCCCTGAGGATCTGAGATCTGGGCAAACCCGCGCTCGGCGCTCGGCGAGCGCGACCGCCCGGCACCCGGAACCCGAAGCGAACACATCGAGCGAAATCGGCCCTGCCTTGTCCGGCAAAAAACGGGTGGTGATGTACCGGTCCGAGAGCTGTGCTGCCGCCACCAGCGAGGCGTCCTGGAAGAGAGCAACTCTCTGTCAGAAAGTTATTCAAGAAAAAGAAAACAAACACAACAGGTGTGTCTTTTTCTTAGTCGCTACCCCCCCAAAAAAAAATGTATATATTGTTCTGGTTGGTTCTCCAATAATCATGGTGGTTCTCCTTTCGGTGTTCCCTGTAAACCACAAAAAAGGAGATCCTCGCAAAAAGACAGACCCACATCCAAAAACCAGCTGTTTTCAAGGGCATCCTCAAAATCAGGTATGTGTTGAATACCTTGGGCAGCAAAGTTAAAGACCCAATGGGGAGGAAGAAGGGTACTTCCCTTTGAGACCTATCTGAGCCTCTTTGGCACGGCAGCCTTGTGGTTTCCCGTGAAAGATGACCAGGGCCCGGTTGAAACACATTTTGCACAGCGATTTGACCCCGCCGAGGTTGAACAGAAACCTGGGCGCCCCTCCACACTGAGAACCCAGGATTCGTACATCCCGGGTTTGTTGTGATCGTGGAATGGTGTTCCATTTTGCCCCCAAAATCCTTCGCTTTCGAGCTGGTTCGCCAAGTATCCGGGGTCGACAGTCTCGGGTGCAACTTTCGGTTGAACACGAAACCAGGAATTACCTTGGGGCCCAAGTCCCGAGATGACACGTTCCCCAATGCCCACAGCCCTTGACACTATGCACGGCTTTCGCCCAGCCTGGATGCTGACCCCGTGGTGCGTGGCGTACCGGTCCTGCGAAGCATGCCCCTATTGAGGGCACTTCGCACCAGGCGGGATGGATGAAGCCCTATGATTGGGAGAAACCACCGGAAACAGCCGCAACTTCCCACTGGTGCAGGAATTTGTTCAGCTGCCTTCCCAAAACCGAAGCAGCCTTTGGTCATTCTGAGGTTCGGAGCCATCCTGTTCAACCAACACCCAATTTTCGGGTGCTTCAACATCCAGATCAAAGCTGCGGAACCTGGGTCTTGGGGAGCATATCCACAGGTCCAACCCAACCACTTCCAGGTCTGAGGTCCCTGTTCAGCAAGGGAAACGTGTTAGCAAATCCAAGTTTTGCACGTGCCGACGAACAAACCTCCAATAGATGCATGGTGACTTAAATTGGCTCACCGGCACAAAGGACCTGGAAATAAAAGGTATCATGGCCGTGGGGCAATGGAATCAACAAATCGACATCTCCATCGAGCGCCATTACCCCACCTTGAGCCCACGCAGGATGGTGATGGTTGTCTGCACCGAGGGCTCATCCACGCTCACCTGGAGGCTACAGGTCGCCACCTACCTACAAGGCCACCAAGCTGTGGATATGTGCGGTACGCAGGCTGGGAGTTGCCTCAGGGCGAGGTCATCTTAAGAGCTCCTGGGACAAGTCAGAACTTGTCTTTTTAAATCCATCCCAAAACCCGAGTGGGTAACCCCGGCAACACAGCTCCAGTTTTGGTCTGTTGTGGTCTGCCCGGGTCTTCCCTCGCATGACCTGCGGGAGTTCGTTTGGGGGTCCGCTTGCGTGAGTCAAATCTGGTGGCCCTCGTGACAGGTTCAGTGGCGTCGTTCCAAACAGTTCCCATGCCTAACATCGCCCAGTCGGTTCCGCCGGCCAGAAAAGTGAGGGGAGGGGGGGGGGACCTTGCCAAAGTGATCCCTGATTTTGGTCACGCCAGTGGGTTTGTCCATCAAGAAAATACGGGATCCTCCCAAATGGGTGGGTTTCCTTTGGTCTCCCTGTAAAGCAACCCCAGGACAAGGGCCATCTCCTTTCCTTTGCTCCCCATTGCTCGCCTGCTGGAAACGCCGCTCCAGCGCCGCATCCTTCTCGATGTACTTGCGGTACCTAAGCGCGCAAATGTCTAGCTCAAAATGCTTGGAACTCAAAATGGCGGACCCCTTTTTGGAGGAAACAGGCTGGTAAAAGACCTGGTAAAAAAGCCAGGGGAAAACACGTGTGACACAGCTTTCGCCTCCAGGCTTTTACAGCCTGTGACCATTTTGGAGGGTAAAGGGAAACCAAAAGGAAGCAAGCCGTAAAATGGGTCCCCAATGTTGAGAGACACCCATATTTGATGGACCCTTGACGGCCTTCAGGGGAAATCCAAAGCAAACAAGAAACGCCGTCGGAAAAGCAAGCACGACAAGCTTTACACTCCTGGATTCTGTTCTTCTTCTGCTGGACTTTGAACCAAATGCCCCCCACCACCACTCACCACCAAACCTAAAGCACCCCCACCAACCAAACCCCTCCCCTCACCCCCCCACCCACCCCCCCCCACCCACCATCCCCCCCCCCCCCCCCCCGACCCAGCCCTCCCTCCGACCCTCCGAGCCGAGCGGCTCATCCACGGTGGTGGCCCCAATGCAGCGCAGCTCCCCCCGCGCCAGCATGGGCTTCAGCAGGTTCGCCGCGTCCATGGCCTCACGTCCGACCACGTCTGACCACCCCCCCCCCGCCCCTGTGAGACGGCTGAAACAGACAAAAAGCAGAAGGGCCACTCATCTTTCATAGACGTCCGCTGACCCCAGGAACAAAGACCAAAAACGAAATATGATGGTTCAGCCTGATTTAGGGCGTTTTTTGTTTTTGCCTATTTACTCTGACTTCTGGCTTGTCCTAGGGGTTTGTGCCAGGAGGTCTGGTGGTACAACCTTGAAGGGGCCTCTGTCGGGCCAATGGAAGCTGACGACCGGAGGGTTCTGGAATACTTTCCTGGGGAACCCCCAACAAAGGGACACCACTTCCATGATTGTTAGGGTAAAAAGGAGAAATCAAAGCCAAACAGCCAAAGGTGCCATTTTGGCAAGCCCAAGCCAAGGTATCTCTTTTCCCACCCGGTTGGGAGTCGGCCTGCATCCTGTGGTAATGAACAGGAAACGTGAACATCATGTCAACTAAAGGAACTGCTCACTTGCCCAAGGACTTCGAAACAAATGGTCCTTTGGAACCTTAGAATCCCTCCTCGTTTTGTCCAAAAACCACCGGCCATGTGACTGGCCTCATGATTTTACCGTCAAAATCACCCAACGGGTAGGTTAAAGGGAACAAAACCCAATTACCGACTTTGCTAATCCCCAGGAACAGATTTTGGGTGTGCATAGGTCAAAAATAGGTACCGACAATTGGAACCCTGAAAACTGCGGCTGAGCCCTACCTAAAGCACGATCCCAGTTTAAGGGTCTTACTTCGGGCACACGTAAGTCCCTTCGCCTCACCCCTCAACCCCCCCCCTCCCGGCCCCATCGGTCTTGCCAGCGCCGATCAGCAAGTGTGCCTCAGGTGTCAAGGCAACTTGGGAGCACCGAAGTGCCAAAAGGGAACGACCCTACTGTGGATGGTTGCGAAATCCAGTTGGGCACCACCGTGCAGAAACCCTTGAAGGAAATGATTACCCTGTAAATACCAACAAACAGTGGTTTCAGCCGTGGTTTCAAAGCTGGTGCGAAATGCAACCATCCACAGTATGCTCCATTCGCTATCAACATGCCAAAATCTGCGCGCAAGACTTGCGGAACGCTGGACTCCAAAAGGAATCTTGGCAGCGAATGCGCGGAACTTTTCAAACCGAAGACGCTTGCGAAGCAGTCTTTTGCCCCACTTCCGCCCGACCGGGAATCTCGTTTCGGGTCCTGAGAAAAAAGCTGACCAGATTGACTTCTACAAAACATCATCAGCTGTGGTAGCTTGAAAGAGGCAAGACGTGCACACAAAACAAAAACAGTGAACCAAATAGGTCTTGCAAATGCCTCGGCGGGTTCGATGCACATCTAAGAAGCTCGGGTAGGCTCCACAGGGACAAAAGATGGTTTTTCCGTGAGAAAGGTCGGTTTGCTTCTCTCAACAAAGCAGTTTGCATGCGCTCCTCGAGCAAAAGAATCGACATGATGCAGCAAGCCGAGAGCGAAACGACTGAAGAACCCCTGTTCTAAGCAGCCCCAAACGCCTGCAAAGGGAGAGTCGTGGGAGAGTCAAACTTGGGACCTCTGCAAAGAGCTCTCTTAGTCCCGTTGCATCCACGTAAAAGCCGTGGTTTCACACAGACCACAGATCTAAATGGGTTTGGGGAGTGTAGGGAACCAGCTTGGGAAACCACCAAGCTGTAAATGGATAAGATGTTGAACACTGTTGTAAGTGAACACAACATAACTTTGTTGCTTGGTACCACAAGCACGAAATCGGCAAAAAACACAACACAAAGATTTCCTGAAGGTTTCGCACCCCTTTGGGCATTCAGAGGGAAACACAAGCTGGTTCTTCGCTCAATCCAGCGCAGGCTCACACATTTGTCCATTCCCCCCATCCAAGAATCTGCAATTCATTGAATCAAAGGGGCACTTGGGCGAAGCTCGGAATTTTTTGCCGGGGCGTTGTTACGACACCCGTACGCGATTTCGCCCAACGAAAGGCCTCGTCGATGAAGAGGACGATCCGCCCCTCGGCGTCTTTGACCTCCTGGAGCACGGCCTGCGGTTTACCGGAGTCTCAAGCACCGCATGTTTGGGTGAGTTTGAAGGAAGACCAAAAGGGAAACCGGCGGTTTCCATTTTGGGGGGTGTCTGATTCCTTAAAAAGAGACAAAGCATTTGTGTCCATAGGACCTTTGGGACGCCCTTCAGGTTGATTTTGGCTATAGAAAGGGGGGATTCCAAGCCCCCCCCCGACCCCAATTTGGGCAATCAAACTGATAAATGAGCTTTCTGAGAGGCTTGCCCCACATTCCACTGACACTGAGCTTAGTTCTGGTGTTGGCAGTGCGTGGTGCTTTTAGTCTGACGCCTTGCCCAAAACCGCCGACAAGAGCGGGCACTTGGCTGTTGACCCGCGAGCGTGCCATGCTGGGTGCTGGGTGAGTTGCGCCGTCCCTGCGCCAACTCATCCAGACGCTTGATTGCAGGAACCTCCACCCTCACCTTCTCCGCCATGTCCAACAATCGCTCTACGATGTCAGGCGCTTCAGCCCCGCTAGGCATGTCCAGAGCCTTCGCCAGCTTGGCTGCGATGTGAAACGGAAGCCGGCAACAGCTTCGCTTCGAAGACGTGAGCAATTGGCAAAGTGGCCACGGGACTGCGCAATGGAAGCACACTGAACCCTGCACTTGCCGGCGGAACAAACCCCATGTTAAACTGGGGGCCCCACAAACGCGGCTTTTCCTCGGGCTCCCGTCAAAACCAGCCCAAAAGAGTACCCTCAACCAACCCCCCCATGAGCATATCTGAAAATCATGGACTCCCAGTGAAGTTTGAGCAGGGAGACCCTATGTAACACAAAAATATGGCTTTGAACCCAAATGGGGAACCACCTCTCAAGTGGCACAAATCACCCAAATGTCTACCAACCGGTCCCCTGTTCAAAATCCAATCCGAGGGCGCGCGAACCGGCGTCGTTCTTCTTTTTGGTTTTCCTTTAACACCACAAATCTTCAAACCAAACTCCGCCCCCCCTCCCCCCCCACCCCCACCAGGCCTTCAGGCGTTCCTCAAACTCCCCCCGGTACTTGGCGCCGCTGATCAACGCGCCCACGTCCAGCGCCACCACCCGGCAGTTTTTCCTCTCGAGTCGCGGGCCGCGAGGGAAGTCGGTGAAATCCTCAGAACTCTTAGCCAGAATTTGAGCCCAACCCGAGTTTAGCAAAGTTGAGTGGTCTACCAAACAAATCCAAGAGTGAAGTGGGCGGATACATGGAAAAATAACGGAGGGGGGGGTCCACAAAAAGTGATCTCCGATGAAACACAACTTTGTAGTTGCAGACTATATTACTTGCCTTAGGTGAAAGTGCTTTTCTACCCTCTCGACACACATGGCTTGGTGCATGGATTGCGGAAAGGCCACTTTCCTCTTGGAAAAAGGTGCTCGGGTACTCCGCAAATTGACGACTGAGATTGCGTCCGATTTGTGGGGTGATTTGTGCCTCTGACACTTTGCAATCCTGCAGTTTACTCAGCAACAAGTGGGGTCTCCTTGCTATTCTTGGGGTCCATTTGCTAGGAGGTTCTAGCCGCAGGCCCCGGTTCAAGGCGCTTGAAGCGGAGCCAAAGCCAACCGAAGCGTCTGCGGCGACCGGGGCCCCGCGCAAGGCTTCCGGCACGTCGCCGACGACCACACGCTGCGCCAGGCCCTCCACAATGGCCGTCTTCCCCACACCTGCGCGGCGAGCGAAACGAGCGAAACGCCGTGTTGAAATAGAAGACATGTGCTCTGCTGCTCCCACTCCCTGAGTGCAAAAACAGCGTGTTCTGCAAAGGCTACTAAAGGGGTTGTACTAGAAGATGTGGTTTGGAAGACATGTGGCCTAAGGCTCATGACCCCTCTGCAATGCAGGCCCCCGTCCAATGAACAACCCGGACCCCTTCACGGGCCCTTGAAAAGAACCCATCTTGAGGGCCCAAAAATCATCGGGTTTTATGCCTTTGGGTTCAAGAAGTGCCTAAATTTCAAAAAGTAGTTTGTGAAAAGTTGAGACATTTCATGCGATGCGCGCCAACTCTTGAATAAGACCACAACTATCTTTCGATGTGCTTCTCCAAACAATACTGAATATGTACTGCAGCAAGCGAGGGTTGAAGCCTTGGCAAGGCCCTGCTTTGCTATTCACGGAACTGGGCAAAAACTTCTGAAGAGATTGCCAGTAGCGGTCTATGCACGGAGTTCCTGTGGCAAAGCACTTGGCAACCTTTCTGCGCTTCACGGTGCGTGTCCTTTCATTCTTGTCATGCTTCACATGGAAGGAGACAAGGCAAAGTTGTTGCCGTAGATCGAAATCAAGAGGACCCCGGAAGGACACAAAAGGAGGTAGAGCGAACGAAGGCAGTCACATGGTCCGTGCCAGTCAGAGTCAGCACGTCAATGCGGGAGTACAAGTAAAAGGGGTCAGCAAGCCAAGCAACACCAAGCAGCGAGCACGAGTGTGGGAGGGCAAAGCCCAAAAGAACAAGAGAAAGATCAAAAGCAGCGCAAGAAGAGGTGCCCATGCCGCTGAGCAGTTGCGGCAGCGGTCATGCAGCTCGTGAACGTGTCGCTACCATCCCCCCTCCACCCCCCACCCCAAAACCTGCAAAAAACCATATGTCGCCAATCCCTGCTCCAGCTGCCTCCAGTCCGCCTGGAGCGAGCCTCGAAGCCCCAGGGCCCCAGAATTCCGACAATTCCCCATGCAGAAACCGCGGAGCTGCTCTTTTCCGACGAACGGTATAGGTGTCAGGCGCCACAATAGGGGATGCGTGGTTTTCCGTAGATTTCCCTCTGTACCCACCTTTTCAAAAAGGGTACTTTCAAAAACAAAAGAATGTTTGAGAAACTGCTTGCATTATTTTCCCATGGTCAAAACTTAATTTAGCTTCGTGCTACCCCGCAACCGCCCCATCCTGATTATTGCGCCGCTGTTTTGGTTGGTAAAGGGAAACCAACACCGAGCGCCATTTTTGGGATCCCCTATTCTTGCTGGTGTTCAGTAGGCACTGTAAAACCCATTGCATCTGTAGGGTCGGCGGCACGAAACCCTCGTTTTTGTCTGACTTTTATGGCGGTGCATGCGAAGTTGTTGCTGTAAAACGCGGTGTATCAAGATTTTGCCGAGGTTCCAAAATGGACGGCCGTTTATCAACACGTGACCATGTTGTTGACAACCCTTCTTTAAACCTCTGGCAAAGTCTCCCCCACAACTCTGTATCTGCCTACTGGGTATGGTTCAAAATTTCACCCCTCGGTAACCACTGGTTTTAGTCCATCTGTCCATTTATGAGGGTTTCATTTGGGGTATCTAGTTTTGACCCATGCTTTTTCCGCCAGGTTGGCACACATCGCGCTCAGGCTCCGCATTACTATGCTCGTGCCTGGATCACCCACCAGGATAGGGTTGTTCTTGGTCCTCCGCAGGCTTGGGCGATTCAACCCCTTTAAACCAAGCTGATTCAACAACTTGTTGGGTGTGTCTTTCTTTAGTGCCCGCCCAAAACAAGAAGAAGAAATAACACAAACAAACAAACTAGAACCACGGGTGGCCCGAAAGCATAATGGAAAGTGACCAAAGACAAGCAAAGCGAGCCAACATGCAGGGGTGCCAGTGCAGTGGTTGCTCAAGAGTTGGTGTTGCGTGCGCGCGCGTGTGCGTGTGTGTGCCTCTTGCATGCAACACCCAGCTGCCGCATGTCTCAACTCTTGCCACGGCAAGTCAAAGCAAATAAAGCCGACATGTGTGTGTGTGTGTGTCACACTTGCGCACGTGCGTGCGTGTGTGCTACCGCGGATATCTGCAAATTTTGCCCTTCTGTGACTGATAAGCTTCGGTGCTGCGAGCTCTGCGCACTTGCGCGTGCATGTGCGTGTGTGCTAGTGCGGCTTGCGCGCGTGCATGTGTGTGTGTGTGCTAGCGCGGATATCCGAAAAGTTTGCCCTTCTGTGACTTATAAGCTTTGGTGTTGCGAGCTCTGTGCACTTGCGCGCGTGCGTGCGCGCGTGCTACCGCGGGTATCTGCAAAGTTTGCTCCTCTGTGACTGATAAGCTTCGGTGTTGCGAGCTCTATACAAGTGTTGCTCTGCGCAAGTGCTCGGCCCAAGTGTTCAGCGCAAGTTGCTCTGCGGGCGCAAGTGCTCTAAGCAAGTTGCGATGCGCAAGCGCTACGCAAAAGTATGGCTGCGCAAGCTCGGGACAAATTTCTATGAGCAAGTTCTCCGAGCAAGTTCTCTGCGCGCAGCGCTGACCGCAACATGGCAACCTGTCGATTTTATCCGGAGCTACGAATGCACCCTTTGTAAGCCACTTTCGCGCTGCTGACTTTCTAACTTAAAGGTCGCGGAGACCAAGCAGGATTCGAGCCCGGAGCCGGTCACTGCCAAGAGCAGGCGCGTAACCACGAGACAAACTCTCAAGCCCGCGTTCCGACTTGAAAAGGTAGCATTTACTAGCATTTCGTGCGATCCACCACGCCAATCCTCGCAGAAGGTCGCGCGGGCAAGTCAGAAATCGTAAAAAGTCCTCGACGCGCACCTCAGAAATCGTAAAAAGTCCTCAGTTTTTGCGAACTCGTAAAAAGCCCTCAGTTTTTGCACATCGACCACGCCAATCCCCGCAGAGAGTTGCGCGCGCAGATCAGAAATCGTAAAATGTCCACAGTTTTTGGACATCGACCACGCCAATCCCCGCAGAGGGTGTCATTTTCGCAGGGTGGGTTCGGTCCCTTCGCGCCGCCTTAAGAGACTAACTAATTACTTTCGTGTCCAAATGTCTCGTGCAAGTTTGGCTGTGTGATATCTCGTGTAAGTTGTTCTCGTGCAAGTTGGCTCGTGTAAGTTGGCTCGTGCAAGTTGGCTCGAGCAAGTTGGCTCGTGCAAGTTGGCTCGTGTAAGTTTGCTCGTGCAAGTTGGCTCGTGTAAGTTGGCTGTGCAAGTTGGCTCGAGCAAGTTGGCTCGTGCAAGTTGGCTCGTGTAAGTTGGCTGTGCAAGTTGGCTCGTGCAAGTTTGCTCGTGTAAGTTGGCTCGTGTAAGTTTGGCTGTGCGATAAGGCTGGTGCAAGTTGGCTCGTGCAAGTTTAGCTGTGTGATAAGGCTGGCGATTTTACCGGAAGAACCCTTCGCAATGCTTTAGGGGAAAAAACATATGTTTGCTTTAAAACACACACACACACACACATGTTGGTTCCTCCGCGAAAAAAGGCGTTCCTTTGGACTTGACCCAAAGGCCAAAAAATCGCCAAGGGTCCTCCGGGCCAGCACCTGCACCACCCGCCGGATCTCCTCATCCCGGCCGATGACCGGGTCCAGCTTCCCGTTCCTCGGGAAGACCAGGGGGCGGGTTGGCTGGGGAGGGTGTGGGGGGGTGTGGGGGGGTGTGGGGAGGGTGTGGGGAGGGTGTGGGGAGGGTGTGGGGAGGGTGTGGGGGTTGAGTCTCTGCGTTTAAACAACCTGAACTCACCATTACTCGGGCGAATTTTGTAGGCAACTCCAATCGGTCCCCTGGGAAACTACTTGAAGAGGGTTCTTTCAGCTGTGAGGCCAGCTCGGGTTCAATCAGCTTTCCTGTGGACTTTTCATGGAACCTCACAGGGGGGGTCCTGGTTTAGTTCCATGTTAGTGGGCCGGAGGGTCCAGTTTGGAGGGCGTTCCCATGCAGAGTTCAATACCCTCCCCAAAACAATCATGGAACTTAAAAGCGGGTCCCTGTTGGAGGAATATCTTCCAATGTCTTAGGCCCTAAGGATTCCTCGACCCAGAGGCAGCTTGGGTCCGGGTTTGCTCCGTCCTGGTGGGTGGACAAATGGGTCGGTGTCAAACTAGGGGAGCTGAAAATGTGTGGTTGTCTGTTTGGCTTCCCCAATCAAGGTGGAAAAGGGGTACCTTCAAAAAAACACAAACCCGCATTGTGACATGGTTGTTGCAAGGTAAGGCAGTAGTTCGCCAAACCCACAGTAACTGCCCTTGCCGAGATGTACTGCGGAACGCAATGCAACTAGCAAGGGGTGCGATCTCTAATTGGGGACCCTTGGGTGGGCATCATTGAGGGAGGCATTTACGTCCACCAAGGGTGTTCCTCAATGAAAACTCAACTAGACCACGGTTGGCCCGAAAGCAGAACATCGCAAGCGAGGTCGGCCCAACGCTGCAGGATGCGTTCTTTTCCCTACACTTCGTGAAGCAAGCGCGAGACAGCACCAGGCAAGGTGCTCTGCGCAAACTGGTCGGTGCAAGTTGGTCTGCGCAAGTTGCTCTACGCAAGTTGCACTGTGCAAGTTGCTCTGCGCAAGTTGCTCCGCGCAAGTTGCTCCGGCAAGTTGGTCCCTGCAAGTGGCTCCCTGCAAGTTGCTCTGTGCAAATTGCGCTCCCTGCAAGTTGCTCTGTGCAAGCTGCTCTGTGCAAGTTGCTCTGTGCAAGTTGCTCTGCGTAAGTTGCTCTGCGCAAGTTGCTCTAGGCAAGGCGCTCTGCGCAAACTGGTCGGTGCAAGTTGGTCTGCGCAAGTTGCTCTGTGCAACTTGCTCTGCGCAAGTTGCTCTGCGCAAGTTGCTTAAAATGCAAGTTGCATCTTGCGACGCCCGCCCGCGGACCAGGGAGGAATCGAACCCGCGACCCGCCGGTTCCGGGAGCAGGCGCGCGAACCACGAGACAACTCCCGAGGACCAGTTCGAACAACAAAAGTCGCAAAAAACCTTGAGTTTTTGCACCTCGACCACGCCGATTCCCGCAGAGGGTTGCGCGAGCACCGCAGAAATCGCAAAAAACCATGGGTTTTTGCACCTCGACCACGCCGATCCCCGCAGAGGGTTCGCAAAAAACCATGGGTTTTTGCACCTCGACCACGCCGATCCCCGCAGAGGGTCGCGCGAGCAGGTTAGAAATCGCAAAAAACCATGGGTTTTTGCACCTCGACCACGCCGATCCCCGCAGAGGGTCGCGCGAGCACCGCAGAAATCGCAAAAAACCATGGGTTTTTGCACCTCGACCACGCCGATCCCCGCAGAGGGTCGCGCGAGCAGGTTAGAAATCGCAAAAAACCATGGGTTTTTGCACCTCGACCACGCCGATCCCCGCAGAGGGTCGCGCGAGCAGGTTAGAGAAATCGCAAAAAAACCATGGGTTTTTGCACCTCGACCACGCCGATCCCCGCAGAGGGTCGATTTTCGTGTAGTGTCGTCGGCACTACCCCGCCGCCCTAAGAAGAGATTTTAACTCCTCGCAAGTCAATTGCACTTGACTCCTTGCACTTGCAACTTGCACTTGACTCCTTGCTTGTTTCAAGGAGTCATTGCAAGGAGTCATTGCAAGGAGTCATTGCAAGGAGTCATGGCAAGGAGTCATTGCAAGGAGTCATTGCAAGGAGTCATTGCAAGGAGTCATTGCAAGGAGTCATTGCAAGGAGTCATTGCAAGGAGTCATTGCAAGGAGTCATTGCAAGGAGTCATTGCAAGGAGTCATGAGAGCCATTGCAAGTTGCAAGGAGCCAAGTGCATGGAGTCAAGTGCAAGTCGCAAGTGCACGGAGTTAAGTGCAAGTTGCAAGTGCAAGGAGCCAAGTGCAAGGAGCCAAGTGCAAGTGCAAGGAGCCAAGTGCATGGAGTCAAGTGCAAGTTGCAAGTGCATGGAGTCAAGTTGCAAGTGCAAGGAGTCAAGTGCAAGTTGCAAGTGCAAGGAGTCAAGTGCAAGTTGCAATCCTTGCCATGACTCCTTGCAATGACTCCTTGCAATGACTCCTTGCAATGACTCCTTGCAATGACTCCTTGCAATGACTCCTTGCAATGACTCCTTGCAATGACTCCTTGCAATGACTCCTTGCAATGACTCCTTGCATTGACTTTCATGATGATGATTCCTTGCAATGACACCGTGTAATGACTCTCATGAGAACAATTCAAGTGAACCCAGCGGAAGAACCCTTCGCCATGCTTTCGGGAAAAGCCCCGTTCGAAAACAACAATCTCACTCGCGCAGCGCCAAGTCGCTCAGCGTCGGCCACAAGATCGCGCCCGTATTTTGAGAGCGCCTAGGCAATGCCACTGGTTTCCGCTGATTCGGATACCTGCAGAAGTCAGTGTTCTGGGTCTTTTGACAAAATCAATGGTCCAAACGGGAACCCATTCCATTTATTTCTTGATATCAAGCTGGGCAAGCCTGGGGCTCTGCACCCATGTCTCAAGGCATTGGCGCATGACCCCAACTCCCGACTTCTCGAGGCTCATTCGAAGACCGCATGGCTGTCAATTGGGGATACCCGAAAGCGAAGACAAAGGGCCCCAATCTGAGTGCAGAAAGTTTAACTTGTGGGTCCAATGGAAAATCCAAGCTGTTTCCCCGAAAGATCCAACTAGTAACAGAGGTAGGGCGAGTCTGGCTGATTTCAAGGCATAGGTCAAGTGGGGAAGCCAGGGGACCCTCGTTTCAGCCTTTGGCCTCAGCTTGCCCTTCCACAGAACCAACCGTAGAGACAGGCTGATCCAACGACATCCACCCAGCTGTGGCTCAAAAATGAGGCAAGACACTCCTGGGCTACCCTCAGATCCCCCGCTAAAAGTTTAACTTGAAACTACCACCAAACACTAAAGGGCTAAAAGGCTAAGGGGATGGCTGGGAGCCACCAAGCACCCGTATCCCCAGTTTGGAGCGAAAGAAGCACAACCAATACTGAGGGTTGTCGCCCATAACTTTGATGTTGTGTCTCAGCAACCAAACCTGCCGCCACAAGGCCTAAAGGTACCGTTTTTTTGGGTCGCTGGGTTTGTGAGCTGTTTTCCAAACACCCCGCAGACTTTTCAGGGAAAAAAAGGGGCGCAGAGGAAGGCTCAGAGTCGAAGGCTTGCCTCGAAGTTCTCGTCCGCTGTTTGGGTGTCCACCTTCTTGGAACCCCGCAGGTCCTGCGCAAGCGGAATCCGGACTAGCCGGTCTCAGGCTGCGGCGGAAAAGGGGAGCCGGGAATCCATGAAACCCGTGGACAGAGGGCTTGAATGCAACAGACCCTTTTCCTTGGGGGCCCCTGTTCTATGTTTGCTGGGATGTCATGTTGTTTTTCCACAGCTGAAAGCTACGACTTCTTTGCCCAGGCTCTGGGCGTGGTTTGGGGCAGCTTGCAGAGAGGGTTCCAAAGGAGGGTTCCAGGGCTGTTGGGGATACCCTGGCTTTTTTTGTTAACCTAGGGGCGGGATCTCCCTGTCAATCCAATAGACCTTCAGACATCTGGTGCCGTGTGACTCCACTCGCCGGTTGAGCCAAGCTCTGCTTTGATCCAAGCCACTCTTCAAACAAACCGCTGTTGGCTGGAAAATCAAAATCAACCCCTTTTGCAAAAACCTGGGTGTCAACCATTGCTTAAACAAACCCTAAAAATACAAACCACCCCTGCTGTACCGTCGGGGCTTCGCAGCCGCTGACCCCGCTCTCCGTCCTGCATGGCCTTTTCCACCTGCGTGATGCTGTACCCCGCCGAGCTCAGCACCTGCGTTTTTTTTTTTTTTCCACCGAAACAAACGCGATCGATCGACATCTAGGTCCTCCGGTAGAGAGGATAGAATTGTTGGGACCAACTTTTTTCTGTATAAACTATGTCCTCCAGTAGAGAGGTTGGAATAAGGGGACCAACTTTTTTCTGTTTTGTCTATTTCAGTAGGGGAACCGAATCTCCCCCGAAAAAGAAACGGTGAGAATGGGAACCTGGCTGGGGGGCCTAGGACATGGAACGACTCTAACCATCCAGGTGGTTTCCTTGATCCGGGGATGAGCACCAGATGGTTGAAACCAAAGCTTGGAAGGTTTCACTGGAACGGAACGGCGGTCATTCCCCACGCAGCCAGAAAAGGTTGGCGCAAGTGGGCTGAAAGCTTTTTGGTTCTTAGTTCGAGATCGGGGGAGAGATGCAGTCTGGAAGAGTACTGCGCAGGGTGCTGTTGCAGGGTGGATTCCTTCATAATTTGGGTATGTCAAATGTGGCCGCAGAATGCCACCCTGGGTGATGTTCTGCTTTCAGTCGTGGTCTGCTGAAGTAGATTCTTCCAGGAGTCTGTTTGGTCCAAGAGAAAAACTGTCTATCCCCAGCCGGTGTCCATTTTGGGAAAACGAATACGGGTTGTTTGTCAACAGGGACTCTGGAAACAACGACAAAGTCATCTGTGCCTTCCGGCGTCCTTTCAATTTAGAGGAAAAGCCAGCCTACGCAGTTCCCCGTATGAGATCTGGGTGTTTCCAATCCCCTTTCCTGGCGGGGTTACTTGTGCTCTTGATAACCATGCACAACCGGAACGGGGGGGGGTCCCATCGTAGTTCCGAAGGATACAACCTCCTTCAGATCCTGGCAAAAAGTGGTTCTTTTTGTTTTACACTTTCCCAAAGATATCTCAGATGTCCGGTGGCCACGGGAAACAAAGCGCACCTTTTTCTTTTGGTTGGTTGCGTTTGAAGGGGAACCCTTACCCAAAAAAGGGCAAAAAGGGAGCAACCCAGTGGCCAACAGAGATATGCTTTGAGGGAGCCAGTCTGATGTCGTGCGTCTTCTTGCGAAACAGCGCCTCTTTGATGGACTTCTGCTTCAGCAGCGCTAAGAAGAGGTCAGGAAGGCTGACGTAGCCTCAACGCATCGATCAGGTCCGCGCGGAACTGAACGCGCGGCGTGATACACAGCGGGGCTCAACAAGCCGAGCTGGCAGGCAAGAAAAGCCGGCAAAGAAGAAATCGAGGTCCCACGATTGAACTGGGGCAGAGGGTGCCAACATGTCACCTATGGCCAGGGAACCCAATGGTTGGTTTGGATTGGTGGTTTGGGAGGCTTCCGAACCATCAAACAACGAGGGAAGCTCATTTGTGGACCCCCTGTTTTGGGCCCGAATGGTGCACATCCCCAACAGCCCCAAAGCCGTTGGCGGATTGACCCCATAGCTGTCGCTGGCCCTAAAAAAACAGACAGAAAGCCATTCCCACGACTACTTTTACAATTTCGGGGACTCTTGGTATCACAACAACAAAGGACCCTACCACAACTATGAGGGTGTCTCCTTTTATGGGACCGCCAAAAATGGCAACGGCTTTCTTTTGGCTTCCCATTAAAACCAAGCCAAAAAGGGGGTCCCTACCAAAAGACGAGCTAACCAATCCTGGTGGATTCCTCCTAGAGGATTCCCCGGGGCCCGCGCTGCCGCCACTCGCCTTGCGCTGGACCTCTGCCTCATGCAGCGTCTGGCGCATGCCGTTGTTGGGCGCGATCTCCTGCACATGCCCCCCATCCTCACCCCTCCCCGCTCCTCCCGCTCTCCGCGAAAAAAAATAGAAGTTCATGAACCCAACAAAACAATACTTCAAGCAAACGATCAAGCTGAAGGCTGACGACTTGGGCTGGGCAAAAAAAAAACGACGATTCAGATGCCAGATTCCTTACATGCCCAACTCTTTGGCCATGGGTCAAAATCCCGTACCCCAAGTGAACATCCCACTCCCCACTAAACTAGACTAACATGGGTGGTGCGCCTACCCCAAAATGGGATCCCATTGGTTTGACCCACAACCATAGAAGGATTTGTTTACCATACGTGCAATCGCAAAGCAACCAGGACCGGGTGAGATCCATCGATTTCTTGTGGACGGCCCCTTGGGTTGGAAGAGACACAAGGCCAACCAGAAGGAGTGCTCCCCAAACGGGGTGCCTTGAAGGGATGGTCGTCAAAAGAAATCCGAGGAACATCGAGGCAAGGCCGCAGAAGAAGGAAGGGACTCGAGCGGAAGAATTGCCTAGAAAAATCATATGCTTATATGCTTGACTAATTTGGAAAGTGCGCACCACATGCGAAAGGCATTGTCAAAGGTACCTCCAAGAGGTTTGTACATCCAAGGGTTCCGAAACAGAACCACGTGGCGATCAGGGACCGGGGCACAGCTTCAAATAGTGGGATCCCTCGCAGGTTCGCGGAATTTATTGAGCCAGTGAGTGCCTGCCGTTGCGTGATGTGATGAGAGGCTCTAAGGCTCTAAGGACTTTGGGAAACCACAAAACACTACTCTCCGGTTAAGGCAGCCTTCTTCTAGGGGAGGTGCGGTTGCGAGAGGAGCTTCCTCTACAGCTGGCGCTCTTTTGGGATTCCAGGCTTCATTGCCCAGGAGAGTAACCTTGGCTCCCTCTAATTGGTGGTTTGCATTGCTGGTTTCGTTCAGGAGGGGCTTCCCATGTCCCCTCAAGAACCAGGGGTTCAAATCCCAAACTAATCCAAACTAACAAACAACGAGGAAGGCTGAGTGTAGGCAAAAAAAAACTAGGTCCTCCAGTAAAAAGCTTAGAATAAGAGTACCCTTTTTCTGTAGTCTATGTAAAAGGGCACTACTGGCGGACCTAGAGGACCACCTTGGTGCCAAGTCCCACCAAAACCCGCCTCCGGCGCCGGCGTTTGCGAGCTGAAGCTGTTCAGCAGCCGCTCACAGCCCTGCTGGACCTGCGCCGAAAGCGAACAAATCAAACTCCGGGAGTCTCAGAATCAAAAAAACATCAGAATGCGTCCCAAATAGGGAGCCCCTAGAAATGGTGGCCCCTGGGTTTGAGGAACAAAACCTGCTTCATGGCGAAAGCACGAAAAAGCGCCGGGCTGCATCTTTCTTCCAGACACATGAGGTTCTCTCGAAGATGAAGTTCCTCTTGGGACCAGTGCCATGGCAATGTCACAAAAAAACAAAAGGACAACCGGCCACCATTCCGGCAGGGTATCCTGAAAAAAAGGGACACGAAAGAGAGATCCCTGAGGTCTGAATTTCGACCGCAGCCCTCCCCCTTCGAGGCCTCTACAGAGTCACCATTGAGGCGCCCCAGCACTTGCGCAGCCAGGGAGGAACGGTCCTGCGAATTGGTTTGACGCACTCCCCGAGTGGATTGGCCCGAAAAAGAAGCCGATCTGTTCATCCTGATTCAGATAGTTACAAAACGCGGAATGGTCTTCTCGAAACATTTCAAGTCCGGAAACTGCAGTGAGTTGAACCCCAGACCATCCTGGCCACCATCGGCATGGAACGAGTTGCAGCTCCAATTTTGCATACCCTACAAAGGACTACAACAAATCTGTTCAAGCACCTGGCGCCTTGAACTGTTGAGGGAAAATGTGTTTCTGTCCTTTTGGTACAAGTTCACGACATTCTGATCCAAAGGAAGCAGATCCGGGATACAAGTTGGCTTGCACGCGGGGCAGGTCCAAGCTCGGGGGTTGGGGAGCCTCCAGCTGTCACCCCAACCCCAACACCCCCAACACACCCCGCTGTGTGGTTCGGGCTATCGATCTTCGGGGGTGCTGCAAAGTACCCCAAAGGGGCACTCTTGACCCCTGTTCCTCTCCCACTCCCCAAACTTTCTGTTCGCTCACCACGTTTTGGTTGCGTAGCCGGTGCTTTTTGTAACCAATAAGCTTGAATCGCGAAAACCAACCAGGACTTTATTAATACCCCAATGTTCCATAACCATGTCCCCCCACCCCCTCCCCATCCCCAAGAATCCCCACCCTCCTTCCCCCCCGCCCTTCTTTCCACTCTCCTTCCCCCCCTCCCAAGCCTCCCAAGGTTCCATACTCACCAAAAACGAAACCACCATGTTTGGGGGTACTCCCCCCCCACCCACACCCCCTCCCCCCACGACCCCGCCCCCCACCCCCAACCTCCCCCACCCCACGCCACGCCTTGAGCAGCACTGCGAAGACATGGCCCGGGTCCAGCTGCAAATGGCCCCGGTCCTTTGCCAGCCGCGCCGCCTCCTGGATCACCTCCAGCCACTTCCCCCAGTCAGTGACACCAACTCCTTGCCTACCCCAACCTATATATATACATCATGCACAGGTTCACAAGCAAATGCAATCACACAAATGCTGTTCGTGTGTGTTTGTGTGGCGATCACAACCCAAGTAAGACAGAGAGAGAGAGAGAGAGAGAGGAAAAAAATGTCCCTTGTCAAAGAACGCAGCATTCTTTCTGGGAGATGCTCTTTCCTCACACATTGGATTTTGGCAACGACTTGCTCATACACCTCATTATTGCTTTCATGGACCTTACAAACGTCGTTCTAGCGCGTGTGTCAAGCTCTCGTACAGGTGGCACCACAAACCAATGCCCTTGGTGAGAACTATGGAGAATCCCAGCATCCAACGTCCACCTCAAAGCTGTGGAGACACCCGCCCTTGTTGTGGAATTCCCCTATCCACTTCCATGATTGGAGGGAGAAGTGAGTGTTCATTGACCCTTTCGTGTGTGGTGCAGCGCGTGTATCAGGGATGCTCAGAATCATTGACATCCAAAAAGAGCACATGCAACACAGGCTTGCCTGCTTTCACAAGAAACATGTCAGGCATCTGTGGGCTGGTGTTTGAAGTTACGCCATAACCTGGGCCCCAGACCAAAGCACAGGCGTGATAGCCCATGAACCCAAATCCCAAATCCCCCCTCCCCGCCCCAAACAAATCCCCGATCGCCTTGCTAGTCATCTCTGTGAATTCAGCTGACATGGCTCGAATTTTGAAACGGATTGGAAGAGGTCGAATTCAGAGCACAGTCGAGTGCCAAAATCGCTGCGGCGAGTTGGAGCTGAAGGGGCGCGCTTGCCGCTGATGAGAACTCATGGCTGGCTCGTCTTATATTGAGGAACCCTCTTCTGTTTTGAGGGGAAGCCAAAAGGACACCCGTTGCGCCCTTTGTTCTGGTCCCGAAGACATACCATCACAAATGTCGCTTTGCAAGCTCCGGAACCTGATTCGAAACCTTGCCAGGGATTCAACCCAGTCGCCAGCAAAACACCTCGACATTTTTGCGTAGCTAAGCTGAGAGTTTTCAGGCTCGAGCCAAGAAAATAAGTACAGCCTCCCTAAACATGGCACCCAAGGCGCGGGGGACCCTAGGAGACTCATGCGATGCTATTCTGGGAGTATCTGCACATTGGCATAAATTCAGCAACGGACATCTGTGTGCAAACACTGTACCACAAACTACTCAGAAGAAATCGGTGTCGGCAAGTCTCTGGAAGCGCCTGGACTTTTTGCCAGGCCTTTCTGCCCATGGAACACTGATCCACATGCACATTTGAGTGCTGTTTGGGACAATCCCCAAGAGGGTGTGTCTTTTGTTTTACAGACTGAAGGACTTGGGTGTGCCTTTCTTTTTAGAGACGCCTTCCGGGTTGCTTTTAAGGGAAACCAGCGGAAAAGCGCGAAGTTCTGGGGCATTTTGACACATGAAATTGAAGGAAGCAGCCACCAAAAGTTGGTAGGTTCCTACAAAGAGGACGACCCTCGCTCTGCTCACGTCCATGTTCTATTTTGGCGCATACCCGTTTACCCCCCACTAACCCCCCTAACCCTCCCCCAACCCCCCCCTCCGTCCCAAAGCCCGCCCTATTTCAATTCCGCCGTTCGCCAGCCACCGTTCGATAGCCATGGGTCCTGGCAAGATGATGTCTTCTGGTTCTGTACCATACTTCTAGGGGTTGATTCCCCATTCTTTTCAACCATCGTTCTTTTCAAAAGCCAGCTGTTTCCCCAGGGTTTTGGGTGGATTTTTAGAACGAAGGATGCCTGGAAAGAATAGGGAAGGTACCGGTAGAATACTTTGTCTATGAGGACCAAACGCGGGGCATTGAGATGGAATCATCTGCGCCGGGCGTCCTACTCGGCTGCTGGGTTGCTGAAAATGCCCATCCCGATATTCCGCATCCGGCCGTGGTTGACACAAGGGAAACCACTGTCATGCTACCATCTGGAAGGGTCTTGCGGGTTCTTGATTGAACAACTTAGCCCCAAATTTGGATAAAGACCCCCAAAGCTGCAGGATTGATTTTGAACAACCCAGCTTGCTCATCTTGCTCTCATATGGCTCCGCACACGCCTCTTGAGCTGCTTGGACCTGCGCAATCCACCCGGGACTCACAGCAGCTGAGAAATGGCTGGCAAACACTGCCGAACTGTGGCCAAATCAAGGCACCCAATGATTTTTGTTCAGATGATTGCTGCAACTACGCTAAACATTGCGAGACCAAACCTCCCAGGATCACGCATGCAGCTATGTAGCAAGAAGCCCCAAAAGACTGACGGAAGAAATGCCACCGCACTGAAATGATATGTGTGACATGTTCTGAGCATGCGAGTAGTCTCAAACGTGTCCGTCTGCCTGGTCCTTCTAATCCTGCAATGTGTATTGTGACCCTAGTAAAGGTTGCCAAAGCAGTTTCATTCCCATCCTGGGAGTCGTCTCAACAGCAGGGCTCGAGCTTCAAAGTCCGCTCCGCCATGGCAACCTCGGATCTTTTCTCACGTCTTCTCATCCCCGGCTCCAGCCGCTGAAACGGCACTGCCATGCCGGGGGGGGGGGGTACATGTTTCAAAGCATGCAGTCACCGCAGGTTGCATTGCTCAGCCAGCAGAAAAATGAGCAAGACGTCAGCTGGCTGATATCTTGAGGAGTCAAATTGCGAGCCCTGACACGGCTTCAGTGGTGCCAGCACCACTACCCAAGTCTGCGGTCCACACATAGGAGAAGGTGACATCGTCCTTCGAGCAATACAAGGCAAACTTGGGAATAGCATTGTTGGCACTGCCCCACTGCACAGTCTTGATCTTGGTCACGCCATTTGGCTGGTTCAACTTGTAGGTCACGCTCTTTCCAACCTTGTTGCCAGAGCAAGTAACCCACTTGGTGCTCGTGTCCCCATCAAAGGCGCCACCAGGCGAGGAGCGCTCGCAGTCCGAAGTAGCAGTTCCCATGCCCGCTCCTGAAATCAGGTGATCTCCGCTGTAGAGCTCTATCTCGAAGATATGCGCTTCCCAATCTCTGTTCTCAGCGGCTATCTCCAGCTTCCAAGATGAACAAACAGGGCAGGGGGGCGCAAAACTGGCAATCTGTTCAGGACTGGGAGCGGAAAACCCTGACACAGCTTCATTGGTGCTAGCACCACTACCCAAGTCTGCGGTCCACACATAGGAGAAGGTGACATCGTCCGTCGAGCAATACAAGGCAAACTTGGGAATAGCATTGTTGGCACTGCCCCACTGCACAGTCTTGATCTTGGTCACGCCATTTGGCTGGTTCAACTTGTAGGTCACGCTCTTTCCAACCTTGTTGCCAGAGCAAGTAACCCACTTGGTGCTCGTGTCCCCATCAAAGGCGCCACCAGGCGAGGAGCGCTCGCAGTCCGAAGTAGCAGTTCCCATGCCCGCTCCTGAAATCAGGTGATCTCCGCTGTAGAGCTCTATCTCGAAGATATGCGCTTCCCAATCTCTGTTCTCAGCGGCTATCTCCAGCTTCCAAGATGAACAAATCGGAGCCGTATGGACCGCCTGACAACGAAAAGCCCTTTGCAGCTGAAATGCTTCCTTTAACATCCTTCTCACTACCCCGAACATGATCTAAAAATCCCAGTGGGCCTCTGGACATATCATTTTTGCATGTCGTTTCAATCCTCACCTCCGTAGTGGTCGTAGTAGTGGTGGTTGTTGCTGATAGGCTCATACCTGTCAAACCTTTGGCACTCACTTCGTCCAAGGCTGCTTGCCGGAGATGCCACTTCATCTCACCTGGAGGCTCTGCTCGTAGCGAGCTATGGTAGACAACTAACTGGCTATCTTCATATGAGCAATTTGCAAAATTTATTGTATGGGAAAAGGACATTGGGTGGCACGAATCGTGCTTTGCTGTGTGTTGTAACCCTACTGTTGTTCAGGGTTGTGCGCCTTTGGCCACTTCACAAGAATACGCAGGACACGTTGCCAGCTTGAAAGTCCCCTACACAAAACCATGTTCTTGTATCGTTTTTTCTTGTTACCCTCTCGTTTCGCAGTCTTTTGGCGTGTTCTACTGCACATCAGCGTGTCATGTCCAGCCCTTTACATACTGGTATTCCAGAGGTTTTGATGGGCGCTCATGTGGTTTCATCTGATCTACCATGGCCCTACAGATTCTCAGGTTTCCTTCAAATCCCTGGCTCCCGAATTGCACCTTGGGGAAACAGCTCCATCCACATCACTGCGGCAAATTCCTTGGTATGACAAAAAACACACAACAAGTTGCCCCCCCCCCCCCCCCCTCCACCCCCCCTCCCCCCTGCCCCCCCCCCTCCCCCCCCGCAGCCCCCCCCCTCCGCCATGGAAGTCAAATCAAAGCCAAACGGATCGATCGCACTGGAGCCAACGGATCCCCACCTATGAAGAAGTCCTTGAGGTCTGCATTGGCGCCAATACTCGCGGCGATGTAGTAGTTCCTCACTCGAGATTCTCAAAACCGATCGGTACAAATATGGTCGACCCAAAGAACTAAGGCGGAGATCCGCAGCGATTGTTGCCTGGGATTCTCCCTTACCACCCTCCAATCCCGGGTTTTGATTGTGGCTCACTTGGGATGGAGCAATGTGTTCCATTTCGGGCCCCCACGTGACCATGGTTCACTTTTCCCATGAGACATAATTATCATCTGTTTAATAACTGTCCAACCAATGGTCATCCCATGTATCACGGACCTTTTTGGTCAAGCCCCACATGCCCCAGGAATCAACGGCGCTCACCTTGCCTTTCCAAAAGTGCAAAAGAGACCACCAACTCTGGGCGGTCTGTTTTCTGATCCGCAAAAATCGTTTTGACCTGTGGGTTACATGGATCATGTGTAAAATTCGGGCAACAAACACTACGATCTAAAAGCCTAAGGAGTCCGATGCCACAAGCTGGGCGCCAAGGTTCTCCATGGCCGTCTCGTAGTCCGCCAAGGTGTCCGGAGCGCGGCTCAAGAGGCCCTCCAAGGCACCGAAGAAACCCTTCCTCGGTCGATTCTAAGCGAAGGATCTGTTGACCAAGATGTTCACTCCATGAATGGCCAACCTAGGATTCTATGTTCGGCCAAGTTAGTAAGTTAGCCACGTAACCCAGTCATTTGTGGGTTAGAACCCAGGTGGAAAGCGTTCCGCACCAATTCCGGTGAAGCTTCAGGAAGGTGACGCCGCCACACTTCCGGAAGAGGAAGGAGTTGAGTCCTGCTTTGAGAATGGGTCAAGTGAAGCATCTCATGAGACACACTCCCCCCCTCCCCCGGGGTCATAATGGATCCCCACAACATGCGAAAGCTAGATCAAGTGTCGAAACATCCTCGCCTTTTTTGTTGGGTTGGGGTAAATCGTTCGAGGTCTATGGCATTCGAGGTCCCTTAGCTGCCGAGTCCTGAGTATAAGTTGTCGAGACTGGAGTGGGACGACCAGGGGAGGAAGTCCTTCATGAAGGTGTTGTCCACGGTGTACTGTGGGTCGCTGACGTAGATCACCAAGTTTGCCTGGAGCAGCAAAAAGAACTGCTACTGTATCAGATCATCATCGCTCGGGGTCATCCTTCGTAAGGAGTCATTGAATACGTTCATTTCAGAAAACACGACAACTCCACCAGGAGCTTGCAACCCATCCCGCAAAGTCACTTGGGACGGTTTTTGCCCCCCAATGACCCCTCTCATTCCAAAAAACTATCGACATGTGCAACCACCAAAGAGATCACCAAGCTATGCCTTCTTTATCGGAAACAAACAGCAACACCCACCCATGTTGGGTCTCGGTTCAGGAAACGTCATTCGGAAAACTCACCGATTTTGGGGACCTCGTCCCCTAGCCTCCCATCAAACGTGGAACCTCAGAGGGTCCAAGACGATTTCCCTTTGAACAGTGAGTTCCATTGCGTTAGACCAGGTATCCCGAGTTTTTGACGACCCATTCCTCCATCATCTCCATGAACTCCGCGCGAGTCTTTCCGAAGTAATTGAACTCCACCGGCGGTTCAATGGCCACAGAAACGAGGCCTCCGAAGATGTTGATGAAGCCTTGATTCACCCAACCTGAAACAAGGACAACGATTCAATCCCTTCTGTGTGTTCGAGCCGCTTATTGCTTGAATCAAATCTTGGTTTCCCTTCATAGGTGGGAGATTCAAACCCTTACGAGGTCAAACCACTACCTTTGAAGCAAAGACATGGGGGTTGATCCATATTCCTGGCCCCAAATGAGCATGGGTAACTTTTCCCATTTAGTGAACATTTTGCGGTTTTAGGTTTCCCCCAACGGTCATCCCACGTATCACGGACCTTTGGATCAACCCCCACATGTGGGTCCAGCCGAATCGGATTTCTCTACTCAGGGGGCGGTCCTGAGCTCCAATAGCTAACAGACGTGTGGTAATCCAAGACCTTGGTGAAGATCTGTGGAAACCTCGGAGTAAAAAAAAATCCTGGACCTCTGGAATTCTTCCGCTTCGGCCCCCATTAAAAAACAACATGGCTGAAAGGAAAAACAAAACACCAAACAAGAAAAATCCACAAAACACGTTTTTGCCGCGTATGTTTTATTCCACCGGTTCCAGGCACATGTAGTTCCTGAAGTTCTCGTAGAAGAAGATGTGGTCGATCACCTGGCGTCCCTCCAGGGTCATCTCCAACATCTTGCGCAGGAAGTCTGGACCCACCGCGCAGCCGGCTTTGGAGGCTTTCGCCAGACCACCGGCGGCGATGAAGTTCACTTCGTTGGGAACCCGACCTTCCAGGCGTCCGTCCGGAGAGGTATAGTACTGAGGGATCATTCCAACCACATCGTCATAGATGTAGAGCATCTTTTCCAGATTGGACACCTGGGATTGAGATGAGAGCTGGGTCTTCCCACAACACCCCACCTTTCCCAAATATTATCATCTCCTCTACATCTACAAATATATATATATATACAGATGTATATACGAGCAAATTCAAGTGCACGCCGGGCGCCATGTGAGCGTTGTTCTAAACCATTGTGCGGGCTAGAGACAGTAACAAATTCCTTTCGCGAGCGCCTACGCGGGACTTCCGCGGCTGCGAGGGTAGCTTACGCGAGCGGTGTCTACATGGCAAACGCCTACGCGGCGCTTACGCGGATTGAGCTTTTTGTGAAAGTTGTTGTTCGTGTGCTTTCACTTACGCGAACACCGCGAAACAACAAAAGCAGAGCTTTTCAACGCGCGGAAGACAATCCGCACCAGCTGCAGGACAAGACACATCAACCGAGAGCTGCAGCAACCTCACGCCGACGCCTGGAAGTAAATTGGCTTGGGCTTGGGCGCGTGGGCCGGGCTGGCTGGAGCTGGGGCGAGGCACCCGGCCCTTACGCAGCTTGCGCGGAGCTTACGCAGAGCTTACGCGAATCTCGCCTGGCATTTTCAGATTCCGTGTGCATTTTGGCTGCCTCTTTGTTGCGCTTGTGAACGAGCTGCGCATTACAAGAGCCATGCCATGCTACATAAGCATCCAACAATTCTACCTGGTTTTAGAACAGTCGTGGGCGGACCATGCCACCGACGGGAGCCGCAGCCATGTTCCCCGCAAAGCTTTCTAGATTGGACTTTGCCAGTGTTCTGCATCATGTTTGCCGCATTGACAAGGGACCATGCCACACCCTGTGTCTGAGAACTTCGTAGAAGGCATCCAAGGGGGCTACGCAAACCTTTCGCGAGTGGGCAATTGGTAAAACCCTTCCGCGAACCCTTACGCGGCCTTCCGCGACCAGAGGAAGAACAACATGTTCAAATCCATATTTCCTCACGAATACTACTTTCAATTGCAGAGTATTTAGAATGCTGCTCATGTCGGAATGGTCAACATGAAAAGGGCAAGCCAGCTGGTTGAAAGTAAAAGGCACAATTCCCCCGTGTCTGTTTGGACATTTTCTTTTTACTTACCCAAGTCTCAGGGAAGTTGTGCCATCTACTTTCACCCTGCGGTACCCCTGTTCGTCCCTGAAAAAGCAACCAACCAAACAAGGGTTACCCCATCACAAGTCGCACCTTGACTGGGGTTTATTAAACTAATAATAATAATAAAGATGGCGGATGGCACTTGTTTCCGGCCAGGTGTCGATGTGTTTCATGGCCTCCGTGGTTGCAGCATCGTTGACGTCTGGGTCGAACTCGCTGGTCCTCGCGGTCTCCGCGACGACGAGCGCCACGCGAGGACCCATGTAGACCACCGCCTTCCCGGAGCCGGTGATGTAGCCCTGGTAGTCGTCCAGCTGCAGAACCTCGAAATCCGGACCTCGGCAGATGAACATGCGCAGACCACTTCAGAACCCGGGATGTGCGATTCTTTTTTTTTTTATTATTTTTTTAGTAACACCTGTAAAGTTGTGCTGAAAAAACTAGTTGCTTAAACAAAAAGAATAACAAAAACAGCAAATTGAAAGCAAATGCCACTATTCCCTTGTAGGTGAATGAAGGCCATGACGAAATCATGCAGGCCTTGGGCCTGTCAAACCGACGGACATGTCGGCAGGTATGGAGCCGGGAAAAAAGAATTACGAGCAACCACCGAGGGGTAAATCGTTCCCATGGTGTGCATCAGGTGGCGTTTTATCAACCCGTTCCGGGGATTGCCTCTGCTGCCGCGGCGCACTGCTCCGGAACTGCCTGGTCCGAAGTGGTGACACATAGGAAATACTCCTTCGACTCGCAGGACTTAGTACCCTCAGACCCCGTCCAGCTGAAGATCAACCCCCGCGCATCGTTGGCGCAGGACCATCCCACTGCCAGCTGATCAGCTGCATCGCTGCTGGTGTATCCTTTGCAGGTCGCAAATGTTTGCCAATCCACCGTCATCCCAGTCGCCTGGCTCGAAAACATCTTTGGATTGCGGCTCACAAAACAACTCTAAAGCTAAGCATGTGGAAAGGACATGGAAGGCGTCAAAAAAGGGAACCAAATGGACTCACCCCATGTAGGCGTCCGACTCCTCGGGTGTATTTTTGCGAGGGTAGCCGTTGTTGGGTTTAAAGGGCACGCCAACCAGGAAAACCGCTCATTTTAGGGGATCCCCAAAACTCTTGACACCCCACTTTTGACTCAACCCCCCGCCTGATTGCTGCATGTACTGAGTGGATGCGTGAGGCCCCCCGCCATCAATCCATGGCAATCCGTGGTGACCACCTGAAAGCGATCAGATTTCACAAGGGCCCAATTCAACCAAGCCCCCCAAATTGGGTGGCTTGGAGCTTCCCAATTCCCAATCGCCGGTTATTAAAAAAACATAGGGGCCGGCAAACCCCATTTATCCTCTACAATCAGCGGCTCAAATCCCCCAAGACACCAATCCGAACCACCAGTTTTAGGGTTACCTGACCCATGGTGTTGTGGCTGTGATTGATTGATGGTTTGTGCTAGGGATGATTGTTCCCCCTTTTGGACGGAGACTGGTGGCGTGCTCCACAGATCTAGACTCTTTAGGTTGGGTTGGGGAAGCCGTCCCCGCACGATAGCAACCTGCGCACGGCATGAGTGTTCCGCAGCTGCACTTCCATAACTAAAAGCCCCTTTCCGGGCATCAAAGAACATGCTTCCGCCATATGGCTGTGGGTCAAAAATAAACAACCAGGGGACCGCAGATGCTTGAATTTTGAATATTGGGTACCCATTTTTGACCCGCAGCCCATGTCGCCCACCTCCTGAGTCCAATCCTTGCTGTAGTAGGTCGTCCGAGGCTGCAACGGCCAGTCCTTTCTCTCCGCGTCTGGCGGCCAAGACTTCACGGAGGCGCGCCGACACGGCACCCCAGGGCATCCAGAGTCCTCAGTGCCGGTTGCTGGTTGAAAGGAAGAAGGGGTGTCTTTTTTTGGCTGGGGGAACCCGTTGTTGCCGTGTTTCGAAGGGAAACCACTGAGAAAACATAGGCCAGTTTGGGGGTCCCCTGAGAAACAGACACAAACAAACGAAACCAGGTAAAGCGGATGACAAATCAAAATGGCTTGGAATTGCGCTATCTACCTTCACCCAACTGTGTACGAAGTATTTGAATGGTAAACACAGCCTGGCAAAGCACTGGACCTTTTCAGCGGTTGAAAGGAAAGCCAACATCCACCATAATGTGATCCTCCACCAAAGCTGGAAGAGATGGAAATCAAACAACCTGAGCAAAGTCTGGCCCCCAACCCGCAAACCACTCCCATGGTAGACAATCACTTCAGAACGCTAAAAAAAACTTGTGAACGCTGCCACTTTCGATCACTTCCGAATACTAAAAAAATCACTTCAAAACACTGAACGCCGAAAGGGTTGCAAAACCCGGTCAGTCAAAAAGATCACTTCCGAACGCAGGCGTCCCAGCCCAGGATCACTTCCGTACGCAGGCAGGCGTCCCAGCCCAGGTGTGCAAAATCTAGCGGTTCTGGGGGGGGTGGGGGGGGGGGGGGTGATAAGCACACCCGCTGAAGCTCTACACCCAAATGTGCAAATTCATCTGGATCTGGGGGGTGGGGGTGGGGTGGGGGGGGGCATGATAAGCACACCCGCTGAAGCTCTATACCCAAATGTGCAAATTCATCTGGTTCTGGGGGTGGGGGGTGGGGTGGGGCGGGGGGCATGATAAGCACACCCGCTGCAGCTCTAGACCCAAATGTGCAAATTCATCTGGTTGTGGGGGTGGGGGGTGGGGTGGGCGGGGGGCATGATAAGCACACCCGCTGCAGCTCTAGACCCAAATGTGCAAATTCATCTGGTTCTGGGGGTGGGGGGTGGGGGGGCATGATAAGCACACCCCCTGAAGCTCTATACCCAAATGTGCAAATTCATCTGGTTCTGGGGGTGGGGGGTGGGGTGGGGCGGGGGGCATGATAAGCACACCCGCTGCAGCTCTAGACCCAAATGTGCAAATTCATCTGGGTTGTGGGTGGTGGGGGGTGGGGGGGCGGGGGCATGATAAGCACACCCGGGCTGCAGCTCTAGACCCAAATGTGCAAATTCATCTGGTTCTGGGGGTGGGGGGTGGGGTGTGGGGGGGGAGGGGGGGTGATAAGCACACCGCTGAAGTGAACCAGCCCAGCCTGCTCTGCTTCACCACAAGTGCAAATTCATCTGGTTGTTCTGGGGGTGGGGGGTGGGGTGGGGGGGGGGGCATGATAAGCACACCCGCTGAACTGCTTCACCAGCAAGGGTGTGCAAAATCCAATCAATTTGTTCTGGGTGGGTGGGTGGGTGGGGATGATAAGCACACCCGCTGAAGTGAACCAGCCCAGCCTGCTCTGTAACCAAATGTGCAAATTCATCTGGTTCTGGGGGTGGGGGGTGGGGTGGGGGGGGGGGGCATGATAAGCACACCCGCTGAACTGCTTCACCAGCAAGGGTGTGCAAAATCCAATCAATTTGTTCTGGGGCGGGGGGAGGGGGGGTGATACGCACACCCGCTGAAGTGAACCAGCCCAGCCTGCTCTGTAACCAGATGTGCAAATTCATCTGGTTCTGGGGGTGGGGGGTGGTGTGGGGGGGGGGGCATGATAAGCACACCCGCTGAAGCTCTGTAATCCAATGAACCTGAAACAATAAACCTGACACAGCCCAAACAACTTCACGAAAAAGTGGGGCGCTACAACCGAAACCCAAATCACTTGATCCAGACTCCGGTGGCAGGGTGCTGTTAATGTTAGCAGACGGTGCAAGCAGTGCATGGGCGCGTGGGTAACAATGTGGCTGCATAAGCATGGGTGCGTTAACCAGCGCTTCAAACACGAACAGCCCAGTGCGGTGCGTGGGCGCATGAAAGCGCTGCGAGCAGTGCGTGGGCCTGTGGGCAGGTGGGCGCGTGGACGCACGGGTGCCGATTCTTGTCCCAGCGTTCAAGAGCGAAGCACTCGCCGGTGTCTCGGTGCTGCGCGTGGCACGTGGCTCCACTTCCAGCGTTCCGAAGCGATTAGTACGTTTTCCGGCGTTCCGAAGCGATTTTGCTTCAGCGTTCTGAAGCGATGGTTTTGCCAACGTTCAGGATCGACGCACTCACCACTCCCATGAGAAGACAGGGTTGCATCCAAAAAGTGGCGTAGAAACAAACAGCAAGGGTTACCTCCAAAGAGCCATAGCGAGTAACAATTGGGGAACAGTTGTCCAGGTCTGAAATCGAAAGTTGCCCTGATGTACGATCTAGATAAAATGTCGTATGGACCCCTAGCAGCTTCTTGGCATATTGGTCACTTAGCATGCCCAAAAGGGAACATTGCACGCAGTTGAGTGTGTTTTAGGGGACCGCTGCAAAATGGCTTCGATGTTCCTTGCGGTTTCGCTTTGAAACCACCCCAAAAAGGTAACCTCAAGAAAAGACAGACCCATATGAGGGAATTCCCTGGTCACTTCATAGGTAACCTTCTTCTGCCCAGGCAACCTAAAAAATACCACATCTTGGTTGCTGTTGACCCCCCTGCAAAAAGTGTAACTTGTTGGGGGTTTAGTGGAAAGCCCAAATTGATTTCCCAAAAAGTTAAAGTCTCAAGATCCAACCCAACAGCAGTCAAGAACCCGTTCTTTTTAACCATCGTGCTTTCCCAAAAAAAAGCCGATTTCCATGGGTTTCCGGAGGTTTTCTGGAACCAAGGATCCCTAAGAATGGGGGAGGTGCCCCTGGTCTGCAAAGTCAAGCCAGGTCTCGTCCGCCAGCAAGGCCTTGGCCGCTTGCCCGGCCTCCGCCGTGCAGATGGCATCCGCGCCGGAGAGGCCGCCCAGGTTCATGGAATGCTTCCTCAAAGTGGGAGCAAGAAAACATGGTCAATACTAAATAAGAATTGATGAATGGAATGGAATGGAATTGGAATGGAAACATGTCAATACTCTCAAAACATGAATGAATGGAATGAATGGAATGGAATGGAACGGAATGGAATCGAATGGAATGGAATCGAATGGAATCGAATGGAATGAATGGAATGGAATGGAATGGAATGGAATGGAATGGAATGGAATGGAATGGAATGAATGGAACTGGATTGGAATGCAATGGAATGGAATGAATGGAATGGAATGGAATGAAATGGAATTGGAATGGAATGGAATGGAATGAGTGGAATGGAATGGAATGGAATGAAATGGAATTGGAATGGAATGGAATGGAATGAATGGAACTGGATTGGAATGGAATGGAATGGAATGGAATGAATGGAATGGAATGGAATGGAATGGAATGGAATCGGAATGGAATGGAATGGAATGGAATGGAATGAATGGAATTGGAATTGGAATTGGAATTGGAATTGGAATGGAATGGAATGAATGGAATTGGAATGGAATGGAATGGAATGGAATGGAATGGAATGGAATGGAATGGAATGGAATGGAATGGAATGGAATGGAATGGAATGGAATGGAATGGAATGGAATGGAATGGAATAAATGGAATGGAATGGAATGGAATTGGAATGGAATGGAATGGAATGGAATTGGAATGGAGTGGAATGGCATGGAGCTGAGTGGCATGGAATGGCATGGAATGGAATGGGAGCATTACCTCCAGGGAACCCTGTTTCTAGCATTCGGTCACTGGGAGCTCCTCAAATATGACAAGACAACATGTCAATACTAAATAAAAATGGATAAATGGAATGGAATTGATTGGCATGGAATGGACTCAATGAAAATCGTAAAATGACAGGCAACATGAACAAAGCAATATGTAAATACATTAATAAGTGATTCAACAAATAAACAACAACTAAAAACGAACAAAAACAAAAAAGGATAGACCGAAAACAATAACAATCATACACATGTTACATGTGTATTTCTATACATAATTCGATATGTTGAAACACTATGAATGTAATGAATGTAAACAAGTACGCAGTTGGAAGTCAGGAAACCCCCGCATCACAATTTTCACATCGACCTCCGGGATACAAAGAGCGACAGAGACTCAGATCTTTCCAAGGATAAGAAGGGCCATACTGTGGATGGTTGCGAAATCCATTTCGCACCATCTCAGAATCCCAGGAATGATATGATTCTCCAACGCAAATGCCAAGAAACCATGGGTTCTCATGATTGCCAACTGGTGCAGGAGTTTGTCCATCCACAGTATGTGCGTGTGTGCGTGTGTGCGTGTGTGCGTGCAAGCGTGCGTGCGTGCGTGCGTGCGTGCGTGCGTGCGGGTGCGGGTGCGGGTGCGGGTGCGGGTGCGGGTGCGGGTGCGGGTGCGGGTGCGGGTGCGGGTGCGGGTGCGGGTGCGGGTGTGGGTGTGGGTGTGGGTGTGGGTGTGGGTGTGGGTGTGGGTGTGGGTGTGGGTGTGGGTGTGGGTGTGGGTGTGGTGTGGGTGTGGTGTGGGTGTGGTGCGGGTGTGGTGCGGGTGTGGCGCGGGTGTGGTGCGGGTGTGGTGCGGGTGTGGTGCGGGTGTGGTGTGGGTGTGGTGTGGGTGTGGTGTGGGTGTGGTGTGGGTGTGGTGTGGGTGTGGTGTGGGTGTGGTGTGGGTGCGGTGTGGGTGCGGTGTGGGTGCGGTGTGGGTGTGGTGTGGGTGTGGTGTGGGTGTGGTGTGGGTGTGGTG